GCCTGGCGCGGGCTCCGCGACCCTCGGCCGCCCGGCCCCGGCCCGGCGGCGCCTTTTGTTCCCCGGCGCGGGCGGATGACGGCCTCTCCTTCCCCCTTCCGGGGCCCGAACATGGGGCCCCAGAACCCCGCATTGTTCCCGGGTCCCAGGCGGGGTGGCAGACGGCGCCGGCTCCCGGCTGCAGGACCCGGGGAACTCGGGGCCGGCGTGTGGCCAGGGGCACCCATCTGGTGCCGGAGCCTGAGACATAAAAGACCAGCCCAGACCCCTTACCCCGGACCCCTTCCTGGCTCTTGAGGAACAAAACGAAAAGCCGAGCCCTCTTTCTGTCGAGTTGAATCCCTGAACATACAAAGGGTCATAAAGAAATTTAACAGCGCGTCGTGAGCCGTTTAACTCTCCGGGCTCCTTCGAGTGACATTTCCCCTAAGTACTTAAAAAATGTGTTTGACAGGTCCCCGCTGCCTCCTCCCGAACCTTCCCTTCTACCTAAGAGGCATCTCCATTAAACTTGCATTTAGTTAGCTGGTCGGAAAGGTCGTGACGAGGAGGAAGATGATGCAAACTTTTGTAGGAAGGGTTTTTAAAACAACTGGGCAGGCGTGGATTCTTTTAGGAGTTCAGTTGTGGATCGAGAGCGAGGCATGAATTACGTAGGCTTTGCCTGAGCTCGGTTTTGTGGCATTTGAAGTTATGTACAGGTCAGCTGTAGAATTAAGCGTGAGCCATTTCGTATTTCACCATTAATGTAGCTTCATTGAAAAGAAGCTTTTGAACTCTGCAAGAGTGTTGGCTTACAATAGTTAGCATTTATAGTACATTTGCCTTTCCATAGAGAAATTTCTTATTCTCTTGATCATCTTCTGTCTCATCGTTTTCATGTATTTCTCATTTTCCTATGTTACTTTTTTTTATTATGCCAGATGTTCAGAGAACTTATACCTAGGTCGATTTCAGATGTTTTAAGGAAGGTAAAGAACGATTTAGGAAATGAAGAATTACTTTAAATAAGTTATTTGATAAAGTAGTATAGAGCTTTTATTTAGTAAGTATTGATAGTGGCCTTTTTCTGTTTTTGAAGGAATCTTGAATTTGTAAATTAAAAAAAAACAATGACTGCAATTTAGGTGATCATGGCTATGATATTGAGTATACATACATATTGTGCACAGTATTAAACTGTGAATTCATACTTACTGCTATGGATTTAGATTAGTTCATTTTTAAAGAAATAAATTTAAAGTACTATGCTGTTAACTCTTCTCAGAATGTTATATATCCATATGGAACATCAATGATGGTGTAGAACAATGAATTAGCACTGTCCTTATCTCACCCTCATCTTTATATTCCCTCCTCACCCCTCGCTCCTGTTCTCCCATTTTTTCTCAATAAAACCAATCTTTTAACTAAAAAAAAGGTGTTTTTTTTTTTTTTTTGAGAGGTTTTCACTATAGGGCGTGTGCGCTCGCCAGACAGACAGAGAGAGACAGAGAGACAGAAAGCAAGAAATCACCCTCCAGGGGGGATGGTCATGCTGCAATCCCTTCTCCTCCATTCTCCTCTCAGGATCTTGGGCACGCACGCACACGTGCCCGGCGTGAGTTTTAAGCCACCGGGTCCGGGACACGAACCGCGGTCGACTACGTGGGAGTCCAGCGACATAGCCATTATGCTAACTGCTGGTTCCCAAAACAAACAGTTGGTAGAAATAAAGTTGTAGATAGGAAAAAACAAGGTTTATTTCCATGGATGTGGCATTATGCAGAGTTCGTCAGTTGTTGGTGTTTATAACACTTGTGATTACCTCTACTGCAGCAACATAGTATATTTTCAGTGCTCATGGAAGAATTGCACTTACTTTAAAAGTTGAAAAACTGTTTAAATTGATTTTTAAGGTACCTGGGTAAGATTACAGGTCTAGACAGTTCGAGAATATCTCCCAGTGGAAGATATTTTCTAATTGCGTACCTTCTTAAAGCTGAATTTGCAGGTTCTAAAAACAAAAACAAAAACAAAAAAACCCAAAACTACTACTGGTTTCAGATAATCGTTGTGCTTTTGAGATGAGATGGGAGAGAGAGAGAGAATGAACCAGTTGCACTAACAATTTGGCAGGTGATTCTTCCAGGATGAAGGAAGTAAATCTGGTACCTTGTGAATAATTACTATACTTCTTATAAGGTGGTGGTTCCCATAAAGAGCATATAGGCTGTACCATATAGCCTAGGTGTGTATTTGGCTATACCATGTAGGTTTGTGTATGTGTACTATGATGTTTGCACAACTACAAAATCACACTACAAGATTTCCCAGTGATGCATTTCCCAGACCTTATCCCTGTAGTTTAAATGACACATAACTGTATTTAGGGAGTGAATCCAGACATTACTTTGAAATGAATATATTTGCAGTGTGAAAATGATTGTCCATGAATAAAGGTTAACATAAATAAAAGTATATCTAGATGGGGCCAGCAGTTAGCGTAATGGCTATGTCGCTGGACTCCCACATAGTCAACCGCGGTTCACGTCCCTGGTGGCTTAAAACTCACGCTGGGCGCGTGTGCGTGCGTGCCCAGGATCCCGAGAGGAGAACGGAGGAGAAGGGACTGTGGCGTGACCATCCCCCCTGGGGGGTGATTTCTCACTTTCTGTTTCTATGTCTCTCTCTGTCTGTCTGGTGAGCGCACGCGCC